AACATACAGTACATACTGTACAAGAGCCCGTACATGCCCATGACTTGTCATCAGTGCCTAACAGAGACTGACCAACTGGTTAGAGATCTGACCAGAGGCCGAGAGGATAAATTTAAGTTAAGTAGACTGTTTACTTCAGGGTTTGATTTAATTTTGAGGGAAAATTTTCATGATTTTTACTTTAGGAAAGTGACCCTTGTTTCACTAAGCAATCATTTCTTTATGTGATGTCTGTCTGTCGGTCATCATACTGTTTTTATTATTTTTTTTTATTAAATGTAAATTTAAGATACATCATCATCTCCACCCATACAGTATCCTATCTGTACATGTACCCTTGTTCAGTTCATATTCTGTATCAGCAGTGTAAACTGAAGGTTAATTTCACTGGATTATATGTCATGTCAACATTAAGCTATTATTATTATTGTTATTATTATTATTATTATTACTATTATTATTATTATTATTATCATCATCATTATTATTATTATCATTATTATTATTATCATTATAAGTAATACCTCCATTAGCCAGAATCCCCCATTAGCCGAAACTCTCCAATGCCCATAATTGAAATTTGCTGGGAACTTTTCTGGAAAGTTTCTCTCCATTCCTGGTCTGTGAATGAGTTTCTGAGGTTGAAAATCAGTTGCAATTTCTGGAAAATTCCGAGAAACTTCTGGAAACTCCAATTTTTTTTTCAGGTCTGGGAGGAAATTTCGAGGCTGAAATAATGCACAATTTCCAGAAAATTCTGAGAAACGTTTCCTAGTACCTGTACTACAGTACCCAGAAAAATTCTGGAGAATGTGGGATTTTTCCGGGTTTGACAGAGGTGTCTCGTTGCCTGGAAATCTCTCATCCCCAGAAGAGCTCTGCACCAAGTATTCAATTGTTATTACAGGGTATTATTATTATTATTATTATTCATTTGTTTTGGTCTTTTCATTTCTTTTGTGACTTACATTATGTTCTGTGCAAGTCTTATGTTACTGCTCACTTAACAGTTTCTCATTCTTGTTCGATATGAAGGTGCGTGGCCTATTTATGTAAGCAGTACAGTATATATTTGATTCTAGTTTTATGTCAGCTAAGTGTTGACTCTTGCACTTATGTTGTAAGTTTGAGAATGGAAGGAAGTACAGGTACGGAAGATTTTTATATTTCGTGCAATATCGCTGGGGCATTGTTTCTGGGTCACCCATCCTTCACATTGACGTTGACTACAAGTACTTTGAGGAATTTGACAGTAATACCCCATTGACTTAGATTAGGTACAATATAGTGGACGAGATAATACTGAGGATGTGCACTATGTTGCTGTGACCATGACTGCTTGCCACATCAACAAGGTCACAGTGCATCTGGGAATAGTGTTTGTAGGACATTAGTGTACTGTTACTACAGGTCCACAATCCCTTATTCGAAACCCTTGGGACCAGATGTGTTTCGAAATTCTGAATGTTTTGAATTTCATAACAGTAGTATGGTACATATACCGTTTTTTGGGGGGAGGGGGGGCGTGAGGAGGAATAGCCCACCCGGGCACAGGTCATCGACCCACAACGGGTTCTATGGGGCGAAACATTAAGAGTAAAAAAGAAATTAAAAATAGAAAAGAAAAAGATTATATTATGGTAACACCCTAGCGGGGTCTGTGGCAGCACCCCGTAAGCAAGCACATTACCGTAATATTTCTGCAACGAACCTTTTGAATATTCACACCGAGTGAGATAAATAAAGACTATAAATAGTATTACAGGTTATTTGTACAGTAATAATTTGGTAAATGAAATCGTGGTATAAATATAGTCCATAAATACTCTAGTACAGTTTATTTGTAAGGAAAACATTCAGTAAAACTTCAAACATATACGGTACAGGTACAAACTGCTGCCAACCTTCTGAATATTCACACTCGCCTTCAATGTTCAGTTCTTCATGGTATATTCTAGCTTGTTTCATGATCAACAAACCAGTCAGTGGCATACGTTCACTTCTTCGTTGTCGAATCCACTCAATCAGCATACGGTCAAGCTCTTCATTCTTTGCCCTATGCAATGTTTTCCTATTTTTCATTAGTTTATTGTTATCACTGTCATCACAACTTGTCTTTCCGTTTCTTTAAGTCATATACGGTGGTAGTTCCCACACCATATTCTTCAGTAAGATGCCACACAGGCACACCACGATCAAGCTTCTGTAATAACTTCACTTTCTGTGCTATCGATAATGAGATATGCTTCCTTTTCTTCTTCTCACTGTTACCCATAGGGGTATCTGAAGCTCTTTTTTGACATTTCACAGTGAAATTAAACTCAAAATCCCCAAAAATATCAGAGAGCAGCAGACACATGTGTGACTGGTACCATCGCATGCTCAAATTCATCTCTTTTTGTGTCTCTTCCATATATTCATTTAAGAGAAAGCTAATATAGAAGGAACTTTCGTTTTTCCAGATACAATTGATCTTCCATAAATCTAAAGATAAAATAAAAACTCAAGTACAGTATTTATTGATCAAAACAGGACAGTCGGTGACAGTATTAGATCCCCTCTCGACCTAGTTAAAGCTACTTGACCGAGTTTCCGTGCAAGCTGCAGCTTTCCTTAGCTCTCGCCATCTTTCTAAGGTTGGACTTGGACATTACTTTTCCTTTTAATTTTTACTTTTATCCTCTTTGCCACTGATCGGCTCGTTAGCCACTTGGGCGGTCGATCACGTTTCTGTTATGCACTGTTGGCAAGTACTGGGCATGCACTGGCTCCTGAATGTATCTGAACCTGCTCCAGTGTTGATCAAGTCTGGTCTTGAAAGAATTCACACTTGGTGCCGTCACAACATACACTGGCAGATTGTTCCAAGAGTTTACAATTCTCACTCCGAAAAAGTTTTCGCTCCCAGTTTTCTGGACAATGCAGCACTATACTGTATATGCGTATGCTTAATATAACATTGGATCATATTGGATTCCATTTGGGGGTTTCCAGTTGTGGCTGCTTTAAATACACTTAATTATATACAGTACAAGCACCTGGGAGAAAGGATACATAATTGTACTGTATTAAAACCTCAATATTTTTTTAGAAAATCCTTAGATTATACTGTACTAACCATAGGTGAAGTCTGGGAAAATTATGCTTGTACAGTCCTAAAACAAGTACTGTATGTTGTTAAATTTTCCATTGCTACAATTTGAAATGCTAGATAAACTGCTTTAATATGATCCCCAGTGCGTCATCATAAGTTGGTATGCCTTCTTGCCATATCAACAACAGTTTGAGATGGGGATAGGATTTGCAGGAGAGATTCACCCTTGTATGGCATACTAGATACTGTACTGAACTTCAATAGTATAACAAGAATGCCATTAAACTATATTAATGTATGTATCATTAAAAAATGTACATATATTCATTCATGCTTAAAGGTCATTGATGTAGAACTATCAACCATTCAATACAGGATGAGTAACATTGCTTGGAAAGCCTCGAATCACATAAGACCACATGGCTAATGATACTCTTTTGGGGGAGTGTACGTAAGCATGTAAAATTGAGTTCAGGTAGTCCTTTAGGATGCTGTATTCAGTAAGAAAATTATTCTAGTTAGGAATTCGCATAGGTGTACCGAAGGGAAGGCGACAGGAGCGATCGCCTCCCCCGTGAGCTAACAAATTATTACACGTATTCCAAATAAACCATTTTAACTATAAGAAAAGAAAAAATAATACTGATAATGAAATAGATAAAAATAACAGTAGATGTTACTAATTGAATGATAAGCTCATCATGAACGTACAAAAAATATTAATTATCTTGTATATTTCAACAATACCTCGGTAGGTTTAGTTCACCCTATTTACACACTGTCACAAAAACTATGGTTGGCTTGAATGTATTTTCCAGCATTTTTTCTTCTTTTTTTTTTTACTCGGTATAAGTGCATCATCGATTATATTCTAACACACACACAAAAACAAACAAACATACCCATTATCAGGAAGTGAAGAGATTTCCAGAGCTGAGAATTACTATTTGAATTCAGAAAATATTGAATTTCATACTATAATTTTCACATTATTTTGCATTACATTAATCAAACGTTCACCTCAATGGTGATGTATGTACAGTACCAGGTTTCACGGACCTCTTTTGCCTAAGGGTCTCGACTGCTCTTGATACAATTGAGAAAATTATAAGACTTGTACGGTACAATACTTGTATTTTTATTTACACTTTTTGATTGTAGAAATTGTCTTAGATCACTAATGGAGACCTTGTGATTCCCCTGAAGCAAATTTAAAAACAATTCCATGGAAGCCATATATATATTTTTTTTAGTTCCCATGAGAAGTAACTTAACTGTGCATGAAAGGAAAAAAAAACGGTTTTCCATACCTGAAGCATGCATTTATGTGTCAGATGGGACTTTTAATCTATGATATTACATGGGATGAATTGGAGATCAACCCGTAGCTAAGGATTATGAGCTTTAGTGTATTTATTAAGACTGTCTCAACAAGGTGTGAGTACATCTAGAAGGAATGTGGTGGCATTGGGGAATACTGTAAACTATTTTCTGTCACTGGTATACTGTACTCACATGTAATGTTTATAGCCCTTGCCATATGACTCTTGCTACAGATAGACACCATTTTGATATAAACAGTAATATGATCAGATATGAGCAAAATACTTTACTTTTTTTAATATACAGTACCTGTATTGTGTCCACCATAATGTATGGATTTTACATCTGTACGTCCACAGTGGGACTGTTTCAAGTAACTTAGATATGTTGTAATTTATTTTTTATTGTTTATTGTATATAAAGCTTGTAAAATTTCATATATTGTACTGTAATTATGTAGATCGTTGGATAACAGGCAAAGGTTAAAGAAACAGTACCTACTTAATGCCCCTTTCAGCCATTTTGTTGAATTTGTATTACTGTGCAGCTTTTATGTTGGAGTAACTCTATTTTCCTTCCACAGGCCATCTATGACATGCTGGGAACCAACTCTGCCAGTCGTCCAGCAGACAGTGCCGAAGAGCGAGCTAAAGCAATTTTCTCAAAGATGGATGAAAATAATGATGGCAATTTAACTCAGGAAGAGTTCCTTAAGGGTTGCTTGCTAGACGAAGAGCTCTCCAAGATGCTCACACCAGGAGCTTAATTTACTTATTTTACCAGAGGATAATATTCATACAAGAGCATAGACTAGCATGAAGCTACTGCACTGGTGGCTAAACAAGGAGATGGTAGACAGCCCTCATTACAAACAATAAACATTAGTATCAGTAGGAGAATTAGCAAGTTATAGCCATCTTGTGACAAACACCAAAGATAAAAAATATCGACCATGTCTTCAGCCGTGTATGGTCCATACTAAGAGCTAGGAAATTTAGCTGATCTGAGCACTAATCTAACACAGTCAGTATCAGCAGAGCTGTTGACACTCCTTTGGGTTAGCTATGACAGGTTTGGGAATTAATAGGTACATATTTTGTGATAGATATATTGTGTGTATGAGCTACAGTGTGGCCCTTGAAACAAACCACACCAAAAGGCTGTTAGAGAAGGTTTCCCATAAATATTTCATGTATTATCAATATTTCCATGCATTTTGGTATCAGGGTGATAACGTTTGTATGTTTTCTCTTTAGATTCTCTTAGGAAAGATTTCATATTGTGATCATAATGCAAAACTATGATCTGGCTCCATATGATTGTTCCCAGAAATTAGTTCACAATTCATGTCCTCATGTTTATACTACAAGCGGTTTTCATTTCCTCAGTACAGTAAATATATATACATATATATACATATATATATATATATATATATATATATATATATATATATATATATATATATATATATATATATATATATATATATATATATATATATATATATATATATATATATATATATATATATATATATATATATATATATATATATATATATATATATATATATATATATATATATATATATATATATATATATATATATATCATGCATTGGAATACATACAATAGCACAGGGATGCAATTTAATGGAAAAAAGTATTTAAAGATAATTAGCAATGATTGTAGAAGTTTTGTCAGTGATTGTAGATTGTAGATTATGTAGAAATTCTTCCTTAATTGTGAGTTGTGAGGTTTCATTGAGTGCACAAAGATAAGTTATACTGAACCCTTTTGTCCTGTGTACAAGGAAAGTTACTTTACGGCTATCAAGTAGTTTACAGATTGTTAATTGTGACTGGATCAGCAACAGGAAACATTGAACATAAATATGTAAAGCTCATTTTCTGGTAAGTTTGAGCTGAAATGATCTAAAATAAGATTTGACGGTTGCTGGCTTACTCACAGCTTCTGGTCTGAACACTGACCATTTAGAGTACTTTGAATAAGTGAACTGTTATAGACCTGTACAACGATCTGATATTTAAAGACTTTTATTAATTTATGATAAATCCTTGTCAGTAAACATTTTTACATTCTGAAAGTATATGCACTCATTAAGGCTTCTGTTTACTGTGACTAGATTAGAAATACTGACCCATTGGAGGTGGTTTCCCAGGCATATTTTCTTAGTGGTGAGAGGAAAGTATGTCACTTTGGATACTTAAAGAAGCACACAGACTTGTTGATCTTATCACTGCTGAGTGCTGCAGGCCACGTTTCATCCTTCTCCAGGACAGTTTTGTTTTTCCATGCTCCTTCTGAGAGGCAGTGACCAATTGTATATAGCCACTAGCTAATCATCTTTGCATCTTCTTCAGCCTAGCATTTTTCTCTCAAGCACCCAGATAGCTCCCCACTCCAGTACTCTGTATAGTTCTACAGTATATGCAGTAAATTAGGGGAACATGGTGAATATGGCACTGGCAGGATTCCACTTAACAACTTTTTCACACAATACAATACTGTACAGTACTAACATGTTTGAACTTTAATGGATGGTATTGTACATGGTTAAACTCCAATGAACCTGTGCATATAATAAATATGCACTCTACTAATGAATAGTATATGCAGGATTTTATAATTAATTTGGTTAGAAGGCAATTTTATTTCAGTGTAGGAGTTGACATAAGCTGTTTAATTTTTTGGGGGGTACTATTGAAGACACATGATTTGATGAAGATATGAGACAAATATTTATAACCAGCAAGTATATTAGGATAATTACCAGAAAGTAATTATCTAGCTATAGAAATTTTATCATTATATTTGCCTAAGAAGCAATGTGCATACAGTTTATTGACTTGGTATAATACTCTAGTTATAACCTTCCTCTGAAGTGTATGTTAACATTGGTGTCATTGTAATATTTTGGGCATTTATTTATTTTGAGGTTATACAGTACAGTGTAGTAGTTTTTATTTTTACAATACAATTTTTTTAACTCCCTAGGTTACAGGATGTTGAATGGAATCCCTGTAAATTAATTTTGAAACTTAACACAAAATTTTTCCCAAGAAATCCTAATTTTCACCCAAGTTTTTGACAAGATAGTAGAGGTAACATGCCACTCACAAATGCCTCACTTGTGATTCCTGCTGCCCTCCCTTACTTTCACTCCTTGCAATCTTAGTAGCTTTTTGTAGCCTGGTTGAATAAGGATCACCACAGTTGGAGCTCCAAAGTATTATTATAAATCTGGTTGTACTCTTTCACAGTAATGTAGCCAAAGTATTTAGGTACAGTAATAGATTTTTTGTCAGAAAATAATCATACTGACCACATCCATGAAGATTTTCTTGACATAGAAACATGATATGAATAACTTGTTTTAATCAGAGAATATTACTAACCAGTTTTGAGTGTATTGATAAATTCTGTAGAAGTCTGCTTGTAGGTTTTAGAAGTTATACAGTAAAGCAGAATTTGAAACGTGCTTACAAGGTAATATTTTGTAATATAGTGTACACTGGCAGTCCGAGTAAGCAGACAGAATAGCTTTAACTTTAAAGACATAAAATTATTGCTATCAGTGTAATTACTTCTTTTGTAATGTGTGGCAAAATATAACATGCTAAATGCAGACTTTGGCATATTTTCTTGTATATTCAGAAGAGTATTGTATCTCTTTCTTTTAGTATGCATGTGTTTGTGTTTAAGGACAGCCGATAGAGAAAATCCATTCCCCAAATATCAGGTAATTAGTGTTAAAGCAAAAGTATCACAATTATAAAGTTTACATTTTGGTATTTCAAGTAAACTTAATGAATAACGAGATGAGGAATGGAACTTCTGTAAGTTAATTTTGCCATTTGTTCTTTGACCTCTACACCCCTTTGGAAGCAGTGGCGAATGTGAATTAAAGAGAAATGTGGCTAAGCCACAACACTTCATGTATTTAGACCTCAAATGTAGTTTATAAATTGTTTACTTCAACTGTGGTAGATATTGCTCCTAGCTTTTGGCATCTTTGTGAAATGGTTCTGAGGAAAGCTTTGCAAGTTTGTGCTATGCAGCTATTGTTGTGGAAATGGAGAATGACAGCATATAGCTGTAAGGTTTCAAAGGGGAACACATTCTTCTTCCCCATAGTAGTTTTATATATTTACACACACATACATACATACATATACATTTATAGGTAAAACAGTAGACTACACTTAATGGTTCCTATGCTGAGTTGAATTCAAGAATATTTCAGATACTATACTAGAAAATTTACCCATATCCCCATCTTCAAGTGGTGTGTGCACACTACATTTTGTCATGCATAAATGTGAATATAAGGGACAAATATTTTTATTTGATTTATTGTTACACCACTTATCAGCTTGCTAGCTGATTTTTTTTCTTCTCATTATTAATGTAAAATGTGTTACATATGACATACAGTGACACATGCCTGTACTGCCATATGGTTAAGATGACTTCATGAAACTGAATCCTAAGTGCATTTAGTTCCTAATTTAAGAATGAATCCAATATTTTTGTTTGAGTTAGAAAGTGTTGGGATGTTGCTAGTACACAGGTTATATAGGGGACACATTTGGCATTGCTTACTGTGTTTCTCTATGTGTATTGTGTATGTATGTATGTATACTTTCTTTCTCCATTTTCCCTCTTGTGTCATTCCAAACAACACAACTCATTTCTTGACTTATATTTTATCATATTTCCTCCTCCTAGGGATTTTTTTCTTATTTTATTACTGTTTTAACTCATTTCCAATATGCTTCTTTATTTTTATTAAGTTTTAGAATTAATATATGTTAAATTGTTATTGTTAAACATGCTACATGTGTTATATCAACCCAGTAATTGAAGGTTGCACATTCCTAAAGCAAAACTAGGTATTTTATACTGTACCTTGTTTCAAAATTACATAATTGAAGCAGTTATTGAATAAGTTTTTTGAAGCACCTTAATTATATTCAGTATCAAAGTTCACTCCAAAACGTGTGCATCAATCTCTGACCTAAGAGTATAATCTGCTGACATGTTTTACAAAGAATAAGATTTAATATGTAGCCAACCACACAGCCTCATAATCAAAGAAGACTAATCTCAGTCCATCCCCCTTTTACTTTTGATGGTGGGTTGCTTTCTTTGCTCAATCATACTGACTGAATTTGCCTAAAATTTATACCTATAAATCTAAGTTTTCATAAAGTGACTCTTTCTTTATTCAGTTGTACTCATTAATTGATTATCTCTAAATTTAAATAACTCTAAGGGGAATGTGGTTTATTGTGTGCTATTATCCCTCTTACCATAATCTGGTGCTTATACAGATATTGCTCAGCAGAACGTGTCTGCTCCGTTTTAGCAAGCTATGTCTTTATGGCATGTTTCTTGAAGACTTAATTTTGGGAACAGTTGTTATGATTATATTATTTTGAGCTAAAAAATTTAAATAGCACCTGAGTCTTGCATAACAAACTGTAGAGAAGAATTGTATTGACTTTCATCAGTGAAAAGATTCAGAAAGTTGTAATAAGTAGTTTTAAATGAAAGAAGATACTGTATAGGAATAGCAATATATATATATATATATATATATATATATATATATATATATATATATATATATATATATATATATATATATATATATATATATATATATATATATATATATATATATATATATATATTATAATTAAAAAAATATAGAGGGACAAGATAGCAGCTTTTGAAAATTAGATTGGGTATTTTATGGCAGATGTAACGTACAGTATTTGTTAATTTTATTATGATAACTAGAATTGTATATTTTTGTTTTATGTTGGTTTATTATGCCATTATTTTTTTTTTTCATGGTTAGGCAATGGGCCATTTCATTCCATGAAATGTTTTCATTATGGGTGATCTCTGCAAGGGTCTCTAATGGGTGATCATAACACAAGCATTCCAGTACATAAGTCAGTCCTGGTGTGCTGTAAAGGGAGTGTGCAAGCATGTTTCCTCAGTCATTTCCACCCCAGGATGAGACTTGTGTATGTGTAAAGTCACTTACTTTGTTTTGCCACTCTTATGTGTACTCATTTTACTTTTCCTCCATGGATAACCATTCCTTAAGAATTGTCTCACATTCCTCCTCCTCTTGAGACATTATTATTTTTAGCTTATCCAAATTATAGAGTAAGTGGCATATAAAGAATCACATTTTCTTCACAGAAAGGTTTTATGTAATAACTGTTCCAATACTGTAATGCACAACCTTTGTTCTTTGCTGATTACTGATTTAACGCCAACTTCCCCACCCTTCTGTGATATAGTTGTTCTTGTGGCGTGTGTGAGCATCTACAACTGTGTCTTGTGAATGTGACCCCAGATATACATGATTGACATGACCCAAGACATTGCCATAGAAAAAGCTTGGGTCTCAAGGTTGAATATATTGTAGTTATATTTATGTCACTTTAAATATAAAATATTTCCTGTGCTTCTTAGTAAGACAGATTAATCCTGGACTGAGTTTTATCAAAATCTCTGCACAAAAAGTATATTAATATTGTTTTCTATTTCAGTGACATTTCTTATAACTTTTTTTTTCAGATTTGGCTTTTCTAGAGCCCCTTTTTGATTTTCTGAAGTGTTAATTATGACAAAATAAGTATTCATGTCCAAGTCATTTCCAAAATTTTCTTTGTTTATTTGCTTTGCTTGGCTCAATTTGTAGTAGACAATCTGCACAAATGGTAATACCTGTAAATATCATAGTAGGATAAGGGATTGTGCCATGCTTGTAACACTTTTACCCTGATTTTCATCTTGAAATCTGCAGGATTTAAGCCGGTGTTGAGATCAGTGGCTTGGGTGTCATGTATTATATAGCTACAAGTGTAATTTTTGAAGTAAGGTAGAAAAAATCAAGTCATAAAGTGTTTATAAGTGCTGATCTCTCCACAAGACTGATACGGTTTGTTTCCGTCATCATCAGAGTTTTCGGGAATGTCTTCGGCATGACATTCTTTGGATGATAAGTGCTTAGTTATTAATTATGATGAAGCCTGTGGTGAAGAGCCATTAGCTCAAAGAATATTCTGTATGTACACTAGAATAGTTTTGTTAAGAACCTATTTAAGTGTTCATTGTCGCTATTGGTATGAATGAAAATGTAGCATTGAATATCCTTCATATTCCTTCTCACCTGTAGACAGAGCTGCAACCCAATCTTGTCTTTATTCGTGTTGGTGATGAGATGAGGAGTTGTGAGTCTGAAATGGGACGGTAATAAAAGTTATTTTCCTGTCATAGTATAGAATTTTCTTGTTCATTCTGCCATAGATAAAGTAGTTGTTCACATTACATTCAACACAAATGAGAAAATGCAGCTACACATAATTAAGTCCAGAGTAATGATGTAGTAAGACATTGTAATCATGGAAGTTCAGTTATTTTGTATTTAAGTTGTCATATAAGAAAAAAGTAATGTTTATTGTTTTTTTTCTATGTACGTGTGGTATTATAGTTATATTTAAGAATGCTATGCTAAGAACTCGGTTAGCTCGCACAATTTGTTTGACTTTATAAAGACAGTTGAGTACCAGTGTGTTGATTATGCCGGCTATGATACATCTTAGTGTGAATCATTTTTGATGGGCAAATCACCTCTTTGTAAAGTTATTTCAGTGAGTGCAATACAAACAGGGTTGTTCGAGAGCACAAACATGGAGTGATGTAAAAGCATTGTTCCTTTATCTCCATTTACAAATACAGAATAACAAATTGCAGTTGATTTCTAGAAATCTAGAGGAGAAAAAAGTGTAGCGTGAGTAACCGTGGTTCACGTTTCTTTTGTCTGTAATGAGAGTTATCCAAACCTGGCTTATGAGGTTTGGCTATAAATATAAATGTACAAAACGTGTATAGTGTAACTTAAAGTACCGGTACATGTCAGCCATGTCTTCAACAAAGTACAGTATGTTGTAGTTGTACATTAGTGGAAAAGTTTTCAGAATCATGAGATGTACTGTTATATTCTACTGAGAAATCATGAAGAATGTTGTCAATGTAATCAGTCTATAATCTCAGTGTGAAATTAAAATTGAATACAATTCTTTAATGAAAGGAATATACTGTACTGTAGTATGAAAACTTTAGCTAGAATTATTGGACATCATTTCATATTTAATTATTTACTTTTATGGCAAGTACAGGTACAGTATTTGAGTTATTGATAAACAGTTGCTACTTTAAAATGCTGTACCAGGGTCCATTAGTGTAATTGCTTGTGGAAAGCATATGACATCTGCAGTTTTAGAGAGGTTGTAATTGTGTTTAGTTCTTGCAAATGTTGTTTATTGTTTCTTGAAATAGTGTGTGACAATTTTACACCATTGTTGTCATAGATATAAATACAGTATAGTGTTAATTATCTATTTTTGAAGAAAAAAATAATGTTTGTGTGTTAGTTACTAAAGTAAGAAATATTTCCATAGTAAAAGAAAGAAATTTTTGAGTGAAATGTAATGTGAACTGCAGAAGGGGTTGTGAAGTGCGAGTAAACTCAAATTCTTTCAGACAAATATTTATTATAAAATACAGTACTGTGTAGGGTACAGTATATACTGTATTATAATACGAGTCAACATTGTAAAAATCTGATTTGAAGACAAAGTGTAAATAAAGTTCACAACAATTTATATTATGGGCAGTGGTGGGAAAGAAGAAGTCAGTCGACACTGTCTTTACTATTGACAGTTTGGTCATCTTTGCTTAGGATCAAATTTTTATTACAGTACCTGTTAAGGCTCATCATTGCTGATCTCGTCACACATTTTTAATTGTACTTGGGTTGCACCAGCCTTGTTGGAATATAAACTTATATAAACCTTGTGTTTTTTTTCCAGTAATAAAAATACTTGAAATTTTATTCTTGAGATTGGTTTATTGACCATGTTGCACAGTTGTGCCTTGAGCTCTTATGTGTCATACGGTGGTAACCTTTTTGTTATGTAGTACTAATATTTGAGATATAGATATTAGAAAATACAACCATGGCATACACCCATAAATAACTGAAGTGTTATAATGTAGTGCCTTTCAGAATAAATAGAAGGTAAGTGCTTCAGTTAATGATATATATATATATATATATATATATATATATATATATATATATATATATATATATATATATATATATATATATATATATATATATATATATATATATATATATATATATATATATACACAGTATATATATGTACGGGTTATATGTTTGTTTTTTTAAGCTTCAAATTCAGATTTACTAAATATATGTACAGTACAGGCATTATATATATACATATACAGTACAGGGTACTGTATTGTATAGGTATACATACATAGAGTTATGTGATCCCTTATTGAAGAAGCTTGTGAGCTGAGGAGGGCCAAATTAAGGGGTTTTCTTAATTTTGGAGCACAGAGTTTAGAATATGCAGTACTGTACATACCCATTATATAAAATGAAGTAATTAACTTGGGTTAGTCACGATCACCATAGAATTTATGTAACTTCTCATTTTGCTTCTTAAGATAATAGACTGTGGATGTACCAACACCATAGTCCCCACTCAAACATTTCACCAAGGCTTCTTTATCTAGAATACTAGATGCTTCAACAACTCATCTCACTGCCTATTACCTAGCAAGAAATGCTTTCTCTTGACACTCCCACCACTCATGGGGAGCAAACTTAAACGTGTGTATTATTTCCATGGTGGTCGAAATTCATGCATGGGCATGTGTTAAGGCTTTCTGAAAAGAAATAAGCTAGACCCATAGGTTCAATATCTTGCATAATTTTTATTAATGTTTTCCTATACAGTATTTGTATGATTCTATCTGTCAGATTACCCCACAGAATACTGTACATAAATCATCCTCATGCTGTGTTTAGTTAAATCATCTAGTGATTTCTCTTTCATTTATCAGTTACTAGACATAAATTATAGCTAACTACAGCAATATGTATAGAATACTGAAATATTTATTTTAGAATTTGTAAAACTTTGTCTGTTTGCAGGATTGAGCAAGCAGTGAAGGCTGGAGAATCTGTGATAGAATAAGAACAACTTGGCTCAGTGTAGAGCAGAAGAGGTGAAGGGTATGTATAGAAAACTTCTTAATGATGATCATATTATTGTTTGTCTTAGAAGTAATGTGCAATAATATTACTGTATTCCTTTTTATTGTATAATGTATACTGCAGTGATTCCTTGTTTTACGTGATGAAATTATTTCTGAAATGTGACATGTTAAGCTAAAACACATTAAATTTGTCTCCCTTAGGAAATAGTATAAAGGGTGGGGGTAGAATCACTCTCAATTATCCTGTAGGGTTTTAATTTTTGTGGGTTATTAGTACTGTATTACCTCAACATATAGCAAGCATATTATTTACAGGTAGGTTCCCTCTTGTCCTTAGTGATGGAAGGGTTAGAACACTATTTTGACCTCTCCACATTTCTGTATCCTGACTACATAACCTCTTCTGATCTTCAGTTAAACACTCATATTTTGTGGGTCGCTGTACTGTATAGCTCATTCAATTTGTCTTCTATGTTCCATGTAGTTTTTTGTTTTTAAGTGTGAGGTGATATAATGTACAGTACTCAAGCAGATTTCTCTGGTACTGCCTTTATTCTTGTACAGTACAAAGGAAGTTTTTTTCTTCTGTTTGAGAATTTCATTGGCCATATTCTAATTTTTTAAGGTACTCTACCAAAATGTTATTTCCTCACTGCTAGTCATAAACATCTCCTGTGTTATAATGTCGTCTTTAGAAACATAATTTAATCTTATTATATATAGTTAGTCACCTTGTGCAGTATATGGGAGATTATTTCCTAAGTTAACATCTTTCCTCCAATTCCTTCCATCCTCGTGCAAAATAACTCTGATATTGTTTCTTGTGTTTTGGTATTATAAGTTCTTCAAAATATTCCTTCCATTTTTCTTAACATTTATCTCCTTCTATATCTTTCTGATTCTTTCACCATCACTAATTTTCCTCTTCCTCCATTCTCTTCTACCTGCTTCCTGTATGACTTCTTGCTTTCCATAAAATAATCACACAATCTACTCTTTTATTACACATAGCTTGTAAATTCATTGCTAATTTTTTGAAGACTTCCATATATGATATCTTTTCCTGCATTGATTATTGTATCTTAGTCTATCACCTATTGTCACTTTAACTCTTGCTTGTTTACCATGATGCATTTTCTTAGGAACAACATATACTTTTCACATCACCCCTAATAACGACTCCACACTCAAACCAGTACATTTGATTTACAGTACAGGTATTTCCTTATACGCTTCATACTCTCTCTTTTCTTACTTTCTCTACCGCATCTTTCATCTCCTTCTTATCTAACCTGTAGGTTTATGTCTCTTTACCCAGTGTGTCTTGATCTTCCTTGATGCTAATGCAGTAATGTATTGCATTGTCACATGATCTAGAATGTGTGAACTCTTTTTCCCTTCCCTATCACTTCTCCTTCATGAATTGTCATACAATATGTTTGAAGTACCTGTATATAGGTTTTATGGTACAAGTCCCTTCATTATTTTTCTTCTCTTTGTTTCTTTCCTAAACACATTCACATATAAAAATCCAACTCTTAATACTGCACTACAGTATACAGTATCTTTCTCCTCTTCCACCCTCTTGCCTCCAAGTCTGATTTTGTTAGAAGAAAATTTTGGTAGGTAGAGACATGATACTGTACCTATAAACCATTTTAAAATTTGAGTATTTTTGACACTATTGATACAGGAAGATGGATTTTATTTGCAACCCTGGATACTTTCTTTTGGGTGATCACAGCTCCACTTGGGCTTTTTGTACAGTACTGTAATTTAGATTGCCTTCTTAAATGAGGTACAGTATATACTGGCAGTCCATGGGTTACATTCCTTGACCCTGTTCGTAAGTCGGTTAATTTTGTTTTTATGTTAGTTTAAAGCACAACCCTGCCTCTAGAAAACAACATGAATGTTCTATGCATAACAAATAATATAAATACTATATATAATAAAGTAAGGTTAAACAATACAAAATAATGAAAGTACAGTAATGCAAAAAATTTAATTTTAATTACAGATTTTTTTTGATGATTACTGTACAGTATTGGGATCCCTTTCGTAAGTGTGGGTGTTTGTAACTCGGGGACTGCCCGTACACTATTTACTTCCATCTCTATACAAAGAAGATTCTCTTATCATAAAAACTTTTTAAACAGGCAAATAGATGAATTTAATCGTGTGCTAAACTTAGTGGAGACACAAAATGTTTGACAATAAAGTACTGTCTTACAGGATGAGTATATTAACTGCAGATTGAGACAGGCATATTCAGTAAATTTTTCAGTGTCTGCATTGAATAACTAAAAGAAATCTACACAAATTAGATATCACACAACTTCTTACAGTCAGTAGATGTAGAATCATTACCAGACAATTCATATTGGTCTTCAAACTAAATTTATAAAGCTGAGACATCAGCTAAATTAGCATGAATTTTCAATAAGTCATTCCAGTGCACACATAGATCGAGGTGAGGATCCAGTATGAAATATTGAAAATTTTCTCTAAAGTAAATTATTTTAAATTTTATGTAAATCATTGTACAGTACTGTATGCAACTTTTTCTCTTTTTTTTTTGTAGGTGTGTGGCTAGCGAGAGGGGCACGTAGAAAAGGAGTGTTTGTTGAGGTAGTAGACCAAGTTAACACACCTACATAACCATGGGCAAGCAGAATAGCAAACTCAAGCCAGAGGTGCTGGAGGACCTTCGCTCCAATACAGAGTTCACAGGTGAAAAATGGTGATAGGAAATTGACACATTAATTGTTGTATTACTGTACTGTAATCATTTGAATATAAATCATTAAATATTTATGATTAAACAATTTTTTTTCTTTATTTAACTTAAATGTAAATGGTGATAACTTTTATTCTCTTGTAATCAATGACAAATAGTGTCACTTGATTGAAAATTATATCACCATCTAATTCATTATGCTCAATTTTGTTTTAAGCAATTCTTGAATTTTATTTATACAGTAATTGAAATTTTATTCTTGTGTGTGTGTGTATATATATATATATATATATATATATATATATATATATATATATATATATATATATATATATATATATATATATATATATATATATATATATATATATATATATATATATATATATATATATATATATATATATATATATATATATATATATATATATATATATATATATATATATATATATATTGGAAAATTACGAACACTATATATACCTGAAATTAAGAGTTAAAAAATAACCATTACTTAACCCTGGCGTCCTCTCTCTCTCTCTCTCTCTCTCTCACTGGTTCCACGAACATTTCCCAGGCGTTCTAGCTAGTAAAGTGGTAGTGCTTGTGGTGCCACCTCCCACATCTCATGGTCTTTTGGAATCTTGGAAGACATATTGTAGGGCTCTAATATACATTCAAAATTTAAGCAAAGACAAGAGTGAGCAGGGTACAGTACTGTATAACCAAAACACTTTTGCTGGAGATATAAAGAAACTTAGCAGCTTGGCACTGCTAATACAGCCATCATGGTGGCTTCTCTGCAAACTATTGGTGCCAGATTCAAAACATGCAGGACCACAGGAGTTGCCAGACCACAGATTGCTGGACCAGAGAGTTACAACCTGTAGTTTCATTAACTTTGAGGATTTGTAGAACACAGTAATTTTATTAAGTCCTCAGCACTTGTCTAGTACAGTACAGTAGTTTCATTAACTCCTGGTAGTTTCTCTCAAGTTTCCACCATTGTGTGGGGTACCTGCTGTTCTCACTGTTCACTAGTATACAATTACTGTTAATTTTTACAGACTCTGAGATTCAAGAGTGGTACAAAGGCTTCCTTAAAGACTGCCCAACAGGACACCTATCTGTTGAAGAATTCAAGAAGATATATGGAAACTTCTTTCCATATGGTGACGCATCAAAGGTACGTCTCTTAACAGGGTATAACTATATAGCTTCAGTCAATTGATGTTCTATGTAAGCTCATACTGTAATTATATGACTCAAACTGTGTTCTCAGAGGATTCTTGTCCTCACAGAGAAGACTCACATTTTTTAATCCTACTTTATGTTAGTCAATTGTATTCGATGTGCTCATGTCCACTCTAGGGAAAAAACATAAGCAATAGAATACATCTCTTGACAACCTCTAAAAGAACTAACACATGGATTTAAAATTTCCCCCAAAAATAAAAAGATAACTTATGGGTTAATGGATTGTTTAATGTGTTATCTCTCACAATTAAAGGCCTTATATCCCTTACACAACAGTGATCCATATTGTTTACTTTCACAAACTAGTTACTATTAACATCGCAAAAGAACATGTGATAGTCAACAAGTCATAGTGTTTGTAAGCAAACAATAGATCTGGTGATTAATGTGGAAACACTTTTTATAATTTTCTTTTAGATGACACAAGTCACAAGGGATGTTAAATGCATTCTAGTGGATCACACAATTTTTATATATATATATATATATATATATATATATTTTTTAGTACATCGGGAATTTTTTTAGTGATAGAATGGGACATGGAAAAAACAATGTGTATGTGGATATTAACATATGCAATTTAGTGATGTCTTTTGTATAAATTCCCTTCAGAACATAGGCTTCTTTTACAATAGGTGTTTTTCTTTTTAATTCTACTATGCACTGTATTTCTGTCTATTAGATGAAACTATGTAAGAGATATGTTTTGAATTTTAAGTTCTGTAGTAGTTATGGGACTTAAAATTTTCTATTTATGTCGAATTTTTCAAATGATTGTAGTGTACTGTAGAACTCTTGTTGTGAATCATTGTCATCAGTAACTATCGTCAAGTAAGCCGCTTGCTACATTATTTCTTATTCTAGAGCTTGAAACAACTTAACCCGTACAGTATATGCTCTTATACATATCGAGTACACCCATACATATGTACACTTATACAGTCATACACATAACAAAAAAAAACCTTAAAGAAAATTATGGTGCTCCCTGTTGCCCTTGCATCAGGTTTACAGTACTGTACCTATTGAATTCCCAAATAGATGGAAATATTGTCCTTGGTTTGAAAGAAACTACGTAAACTAAATTTATTTATGAGATGATGGTCACAATGAAGGCTGTTTATTTATTGCTGTCTTTTAGGTATGTAGCTGTTGAAGTCTTGCTCATTAAAACCTCTTTACTGGACTAGTACTTTGGACCAACAATTTTATTTGAAATTAATTTCTTGGGCAAAATTTTAGTATAATTAATCTGCAGCAAAACCTGTTGGCAAATATGAGTATATTTTTTTAAAGTGTCAAAGGAAACATTTTTATGTAATGAAAATGTGTTAAAAATCTTTGGTATTTACTGTAAATATACTGTAGTGATTTTTTTTATCTTCAGTTAGATGCAATATTTTTTTAATTGACTGGTAGAAACATACACTACTGGTAGGTACTGCATGTATTGTACTGTTGTGAGAGAGTGCTGAAATTCAGATTTTGCCTTTCCTCTTAAGAATTTCATTTCACCAGAGGTGATGACTCTTTAATTTGAAAGTGTGAAAGAGTTTGGTTGCATTAAAATTTTAATTTACATCCTGTTTTAAATCATAATTTACTAAATGGCTACCCCAACTAGAGGTGACCAAAGATGGAGGAAGGAAGTAGACCAATGGCCTGTGTAGGATCCCTCCATTGCTCTTGATAGTCTTGTCCAGAGATATTTTGAAGCCCAAGACTGTGTTTACTTCCATAGTTTGAGCTAGCAGACTGTTCCATAGGTCTACCACCCTTTGTGTGAAAAAATACTTTTTTATATTCATCCTATAAGACACCTTGTTTACCTTGAAGTTGTGTCCTCTTGTGTTGGTGGTATGTGACCAGGGGCAGATCCAGGATCATCAAAAAGTTGTGGGTGATGGAACATGGCAAGCACAGCGAGCCCACCCTGTTGTAAGCTCGCCCCAAATTTTTTAAAATCGAACCAATATCATGGGCATCTTGAAGCCATATCCACTTGATATTAGGAAATATTCTGAGGTCAATAGTAATTACTTTTTACTATACAAAAATGCCTGCATACAATACTGCATTAAAGAAAAAGTATTGGAATTTTCTGATGCAAGGGGGGGGGGGGGTCCAGACTGCCCCTGGTGACATTGCAAAAAAAAAATTATCTGGATTTACGTCTTCCATCCCTTTAAAAAATTTTAATTTCTATTAGATCTGTCCTATCATGTCTTCTCTGGAGTGTTGTCATTCCTAAGTTCTTCCTGGATAATCAAGATGATTCTTATCAGGAATATTACTAGTCACTCTGCATTTAACCTTTTTTCAGGATGTTATGTTTTTCTGGATGTATGATCTCCATGCCTGTATACAGTGATTGTGATGGGGACAGACAAGAGGGTTAAAAAATGTAAATAATATTTTCTCATCTTTTATTCGATACAGTACAATATTTGAAGGTACGACTTATGATTCCTAAAGTTTGGTTTGCTTATTCACAGCTTTTTTCACTTCTTGCACTACCTTCAGTGATTGGTCTATTGAGATGCCAAGGTCTTTTTCCTTATTAACAATTTCCAAGAAAGTGTTGTTCACAGAATAGTTGTGATTTGGGTTGTTGTGTCCCGAGTGTAGAGTTTTATATTTTGTCATGTTAAAAAACATTTGCCAGTCTTGCATTTTTGTTAAAACAACATTTGCTAGTCTTGCAACCATTTGAACAGTTCATGCAGATCTTATTGCATGATTGCAATATCTTGTTGACTTGCCACCAGCCCATAAATCTGTGTTATCTGTGAACTTGATTATGTAGCTCAATATTTATTCGTCATTATCGTTAATGTAGATTACAAACAGGGTCTGATCATAAATTATTGTGGTACAGGTACTCCACTGAGCACCTTTTTCCATTCTGAATGTACTCTGTTTATGACCACACTTTATTGAATGTCTTTGACCCAGTGTTCAGGCTACATCAGTGTTGTACATTGGCCATGCATGTGGACTTTGTCAAAGGTCTTGGAGAAATCCACATACAATACACCTACTGGTAAACTTTGGTCCATATAGTCTGTTGTCATTGCAATGAATGTTATTAAGTTTGTCAGACAAGAGTTTCCCTCCATGAAACATGGTGTGATGCATTGATAATACTTCTTGGTCATGTGTTGGATGATGACATCCATCAAATTTTCTCAGAGTTTGCTTATACAGTATGTGATGTTAGGCTGATCAGCGTATGGTTTTTCTATCCTTTGCACAGTGGCAGTATCGTACCCAATGAAGTTTATCCAGGGTGTGTTGTGTAAAGCTCAATGGTCAGTTATTATTATTAGGAAAGGTTTATCTAGCAACCAACCCTACTTTTACTCTTAGGAGGTAAGGTTGCCCATCCTCACCTTCTCGCTGGTTAATTCACTTTGTGTCTATTCAACTGGAACCAATGGGGAAGTTCTGCTTGAAATTCAGCAGTTTGTTTCTTTGTGTTTTTCTGATCTGTCTTCAACTATTTTCTTCTGACAAGTGTCATTTTACAGTGCTGCCTGGGACTTCTCAGGAAGTTTTTTTAGTGTACTGTACTTTGACTCAAAACTGAATTTTAAAGAGCATATAAATTCAGTAGTTAAGAGTTGTAACTTTCACATTCTAAATCTAGATGCTATTAAACTGTGTCTTGTGACATGACATTATTACATTCACTTATTTTGTCTTGGGTTGGCTATTGTAACTCTTTATGGGTTCCGCCTACCTGATTGTCTACTGAAGACAATTCAAACAGTGTTGAACAGGGTTACCAGGCTTATTTTTGCTTTCCCACCGAGGACTCCCACTACCTGATTTTTGATCGAATTACATTGGCTTCCAATTAAAGCTAAGATAGAGTTCAAACTTTGCCTGATGACTTTTTAAGACACTAATGTGTGGTGAGCCTAAGTATTTGGCCAGCTTTCTAATTCCACTGACTACACATTCTGAAATGATTTTGTGTAGTAGTTATGATCCTTCATGCTTTGAGGAGCCTAGAGCAGTACGGGAATGTTCTTTTGCTGCCCGATGAAGCTACTGTCTTCTGTGGAGGCCTTTAAGAAATAACTTAAGACCTTTCTTTCTTTTTTTTTTGCAAGCGTATGATACTGAACAGGGTACTACAGTGATGGAGAATTACTGGGTTTAGGAAATATTAAAACTTAGGGTATATGAATGATAGGAGTCGAACTGTCACTTTTGTGTTTTTTTTATTGTAATAAAGTTCAGTATTTCTTTTTATTTTCAATTCTTTGACTTTGTAGTGTTTCGAGCATTAATGAATTCTTTAGAAAAACAGGCGCATTTGAGACACAAAAGACCATCTACTGTATTAGTATTACCGGTACTCCTGTTATTATTACAGGTAAGTGTGATTGCTGTCTCTCTTAATTAGTTTTTAACCCCTGAGGTATACATCCTCCAGGGTATATTGTCATGTTATCCAGCATATCCTGTGCTATATAAAGTAACCATGTAGGGTATCTGGTGTCCATTTATTGTCCTCCAGAGGCAGATTGTATTCATTCTTTGGAGGGACAGAGTTTCTTTTTTCTTAATTTTATTCCTCGTATAAGCACAAAAAGACGTGGGATCTTTCTTAATATTTTGGTCCAATTTCTACTTGAAGTATCGTTTTGCAGATCTAATTTCCTGGTTGGTCACAATTAGGGCTCTATTTTTGTATTGTATAGTCTGCATAATGTTTTGGGCTCTGACATTTCTTTTATTATTTTTGACAGATTTTTTTTTTTTTTTTTTCCTGGATTTGTGATTCATCTATCCGGACTAACTTCCTCTCTTCCTTGACTTCTGGGGTACTACCATACATTCTTCTAATGCCGTTTCAATGATTTCCAAAAATTCTTGCTATGATTCGTCTTTGTGTGATTCCTCCTTAATATTCCT